TCTTGGTGAGGAAGTCACGGTTACGCGGCGCAAGAGTGGCGTGTATTAAAATTTACCCGTTCACTTCCCTACTCTCCCAGTAGGTTACCAGAAGTCTATAAGTAAAATCCAAAGCCTTCTATACTTATACCTGAGCCACGTTCCCACAATACTTGCTATTTATCCAATAGAAACAGCCTTGAACGTCCAGTTGATCGCGATGCGCCCGGTGAACCCTCTAGTCGAGGCGTTAGTCTAGTCGACCTTTTCGTTCCGTAACTCATAGCGCTGGCTCCGAGGCGGGACGAGGCAGCTGGCGGTTGTACTGGTGACGGGCGGATGAGGGAGGGACAGGACGCGGCTTGAGCTTGAAGAGGCTCAGACACATCTGGCATCTTTAGCCACAGAGTGCCATTACCGAACTCACACCCTCTATCGCAGTTCGTTATCTTTAGCATAGAGCTCTGCAGAACAGAACAAGGTGAGTGCGAATCGTTCAATCATTCCAGTCGAATAGGACGATTATTGAACCGGACTTGAACAATTCTTCAGTGGGATGAAAGAACTCTGCTGCTGAAGGGGTTCGTTCAACATGAGAACTCGAGCTTCTCAAGTGATTTTTTCACCTGGCACCGGGAGATACGCCCAGATGTATCACCTGTTGAATTCTACAATTTCCAGGGGATTTTTCCACCCATAGGTACCTCTCTTAAATGGAGTAAACAAGTTTTGGAAATATTGGAACTCTAAAAAATAGCACCTTCAAGGATTTCACTTCGTTGAGGCTATTTTGACGGATATTCCTTTAGACCCCTCACCTATTTGGGCGATATCGAGTTCATGGGAGCTATTCCCATCCTTCGGGATCAGGCTTACTCTCGTCGCTTTTCGTCTTCTTTCGATGTTATGCCGCCTGCCTGCTCCTCCTCCAGTGGTAGTTTACAATGCAGAGATCGATGCTTTGGCTTACCAGCCCTGCAGTGTAAGCCCAATATCACCTCCATCAGTTTGATCCTCGCATCCTTTTATACACCTCTATATGTGATTCCGTTCAGTATTCACTCGATCCTGACTAGTTGACTACCATTGCACTTTACTCTAACACGTACTATGGACTTTCGACGGGGTTGTGACCTCTTGACGGAGTTTTGACCCCGAATTTCGACCAGGGACTCACGAGGTTCTAGGGAAATCTTTAAAAGCTTCTACAGTACCTTGCAAAATTAATTAGGAAACTCTAATCTGACTTTATCGA